GCGTGCTGGCTCCTACTTTAATTGCAATCTTTTTTCTCCATCCTACTCCAGTATGCCTTTCAGAACAACAGCGAGGGGATATACATCCACACTAGAGCTGACGGCAAATTATTCAACATTGCCCGCCTTAGAGCTAAGACTAAAACAAGAAAGGTCTTACTGCGAGAGTTCCTTTATTGCGGACGATGCCGCTTTGGTATCTCACACAGCAGAGCTTCGTATCCAGCATATCCGCTGCCTGCAAAGAGTTTGGCCTGACAATTAGCCTAAAGAAAACTAACATTATGGCACAGGGCGCTGACTCCCTCCCCACTATCGCCATCGACGACTTCGACTTGGATACTGTTGACAGATTCACATATCTGGGATCCAACATATCGAGCACCCTCTCAATGGAGGATGAGATAAGTGGGAGGATAGGAAAGGCCGCAACTGTTATGGCCAGACTGAAGAAAAGAGTCTGGTCAATGTAACAGAGACTGCCATTCGAGGATTGGTCTCACCAGCCACACCAAGAGCTGCAAGCAATAATCTATCGTCTCCCGCAGACGGAAAGATGCCATACATACATACATACCCCTGAAGAGTTCTCAAATATTTATGTGACCCCCACATACATGCCATTTGTAACACTTCCATTTACTGCAAATGTAATAATCTTCTTTAAACTTTTTGTCAATGTTATTCTTAATGTGTATGCCAAGTTTCATTTACAATACTGTACAATAAGTTACAATACAATGCAATACAAATTTGTTTTTATTCATTTTGTGTAAAGTCAAATTGGTATTAAATGTTTAATTTTATGCAATAAAAGTCACAACAAATTAAAAAAAAACCACAATTTTAGTGTATTTTTGTCTTTGTGTTTGTGTATGGTTTGCATGTACTGTATTTTTTTCAATGGCTCTATTTATTTAGGTTATCAGTATTTTATTTTCAATGTGGCATGACTTAGTTGCCTTGAAACCAAACTCCCTTCACAGATCACATATATTTGCTCCCACTCAATCATTACGTCTGTACTTAAATGAAGAAATGATACCGTACAAACAATTTGTTTTTTGTTGTTCGTCCGTCGAAGTCGACTAGGACCATCGAGTCATCCGGTTAGGGGGTGGTTGGGATTACGGTGAGCTCGTAGGTGGCTTGCTAGACCAATCCTTTCTCGGAATACCATGACACCGTGGGCATGGAATAGTTGCTTCAGACGGTGACCTAATGTTGCTCTTTCGGACAAGCCTGCGTGTCTCAGCTGTGGTTATTCTATTAGCTTCATGGGATTTAGCCCCCTTCTTGACAGCAGCTCTCCACCTGGCTCTATCCTGGGCTGTCTATAAACCCGCTCCTGCACCTATTGAGTAGGGTTTATGCTGAAGGCCTTTAATGCCACTTTCAGTGAGTCTTTGTAACGCTTTTTTATCTACTTGGGAGCGCTTGACTATCGTGAGTTCTCCGAAGAATTATTGTTTCGAGAGCCGGTGTTCTTCCACACGGGCTACGTGTCCCATCTAACGGAGCTGAGACTGCATCAGAGTGGTGAAGATACTAGGTAGGTTCGCTCTAGCGAGGACCTCGGTTTCGGGGACTTTGTCTTGCCACCTGATGTCGAGGAGTTTCCTTTCCTAAGGCAGTTAGTGTGAAAATGAATCAGGTTCTTGGCGTGACGCTGGTAGACCGTCCACGTTTCACATCCATAGAGCAGTGTCGGAAGGACTGCTGCGCTATAGACCTTGAGCTTTGTTTCTCGCCTGATACCTCTCCTGTCCCAAACAGTGCTGCGGAGCCTGCTAAATAGGGCACTAGCATTTGCGAGTCTGCCATTCATTTCATCCTCCATGACGACAGATCTAGAGAGGGTGCTGCCCAAGTAAGTAAATTTATCCACCGGGTTGAGACGCTTTCCACTGATGATGATGTTGGGTTCAACGTAGGGCTTACTGGGAGCTGGCTGATACATAACCTCAGTCTTCTTTGTGTTGATTGTGAGGCCAAAGTTATGGCAGGCCTCAGAGAAGATATTAACGCTGTGTTGCATGTCGCTTCTGAGGGAGCGTTGAGGGCATAATCGTCTGCAAACAGAAGCTCGTTGATCGTGGTACATACCACGTACAAACAATAGTTAACTGTACAGGTACCAACAAGGAAGGAGAGAAAGTAAAAGGAGACAAATGGCAAAGGAATGATGTGACCTACTGGCCCCTAATTTATTTTATGGATTACTTGAGTACACAACTCAAATAACTAACAACCAAACAAAAATGTTCTCATGTCAGTTAAGGGTTTTTTCTCTATTAAATTATGTTCCAGTGTGTTAGACCCAGTAGACAGATATGATAAAAATAAAAAAAGAATAGTCTTCCAAAAATAAGTCTCTTTCTTACTTTATACAATGGCATCCTTTAACTTTAAGATGTTCATTGCAACTACCTTGTGAATTAGGTCATGTCAAATGAGAAAGGTTGTTGAAAGGAGATTCAAGATATCAGGAAAAACAGTCAGTGTCCGCATGTATGACTCTCAGTGCCAAGGAAAAGGTTTAAAATTGGTAGTTTTGTTCTGACTAAGCCAAGCTCTCTAGAGGAAAAGTTGAAATTAATTCATTATGAATGAAATTTTCATTATTTAGAATACCTAATTAATTCATAAAGTACTGTGTGATTAAATCTTTTAACTGAAACAATACACATAAATAATCTTAAATAAAGGATTTAATTTTAATAATTAAATTAATATTATTACTTTTCTAAAATTCAAATGAAAACGATAAATGTATCTAAATCATCTTCATTTACTCGATTTAACCAAAAAAAAAAATTGAATAACGAAAATGGCTTAAACTAAAAAAAGAAAATAAGAAAGAAAAATAATCTACCGGTACTAAGAGAAATTAACAAAGCAAAAATAAAAAAAGCAACTAAAAATAATAAAACTATGAATCAATGAAATAAACAAGGAGAAAAAACAATTTCAAAAAATAATTCTCATACTATTATTGTTATCACGCCCGGTCCCGAAGCCATTTAATATGTACGGATCCACTCCGGGTGCGAAAGTCATTGGCGACCATAGGTACCCGGGTACCTATAGAGCAGCCTATCATTATACAAGCAAATAACACTTGACCTATTAGTTTGAAGACGCACCCACGAGAAGAGGTCTCGAGTATGTGTTTGTCCACTCAAGAAGCGATGCTAGCACACATGTGACACATAGTACGGTTGCTCTTTGTCAGCAGAAAACTTAATGATAAGATAATAAAATAAATTTATAATACATTGTTTCGCAAACATTGTTTATTGAGTGCGTTAAAAGTATTACGTCATACCCAATCGAAACACACACAACCATGAAAATAGACTCAGTCTAAAAAAAAAGCCCCACATCAATAACAATAGGGCTAAATAACAGAGAGCGTACTGGTTTCATTGATACATATAGGAAGGATTGGTAGCAACCCGGGGGTGAGTCAAGTTTGTTGCGGTCACCGGTTCCACGAAAACAAACCCTCTGTTGTTGACCGAAAATGACGCCCCTCCATATAAAGAACAAATCGCCGCCAATGGCGAACCCCCCCCCCCCCCCTTTTTTTTTCACTTTGATGGGTGAGCTTTGAATATTAGTTTCATGTTATATTCACGCAATGTCCACTTCTGTGCGGGAGTGGGGGGGGGGTGGGGGGGTGGGGGTGGGTGGTAGCAATGAGATGGTCGTATTGATGCTGGTCATTTATTTTTGGTGTTGGCGGTTGTGTTGATCTTACAGGTGATGGTGGTGATGATGATGATTTGGGGCGATTGATGGTAGGGGTGTCCATGGTGATGTGCGTTATCTTGATGGTTGTCGGTGAATTTGATGATGACGGTGATGATGTGGTGGTGTTGTGTGGTGAAGGTGGTGATTGTATGTGGTTATGATGATATGATGGTTATGGTTGGTATTAATGGGGATGATGACTTTATGATTATTGTGTTGGTGGTGAAGATGGTGGTGATGATGGTGGTGATGATGACGGCGATGATGGTGGTGATGATGATAGATATAATGTGTAGATGTGGATATGAGAGATGGTGATGATTTGGTTGAAATGGGTGGTGTAAGATGGTGGTGACGGGGATGGTGATGATAGTGACGGTGGAAGTGGTCGTGGTAACCTTATCATGGTTGATCGTTCATGTACATTTCATTGTAATGACAATTATTACTGCATGGTATTCAAAACTGAACACTTACAAAACTAATGCGGTTAAATTTTAACATTTTTTTTAAAGTTTATAAAGAAATACAGTAAAAATCTTATATTACTTCGCAGTGCTCTAATATCAAATAAGGATTTTCTACTGGCACAGCAATGGAAAAATAAAATAGTTAAAGATTATCAGCTTTCTGTGAATGTTATTTGATCTGAAGCTTAATGGTAATGTATGGCTGAGATCTGAAGCTTAATGGTAATGTATGGCTGAGATCTGAAGCTTAATGGTAATGTATGGCTGAGATCTGAAGCTTAATGGTAATGTATGTCTGAGATCTGAAGCTTAATGGTAATGTATGGCTGACAAGATGTTAAGCAAAAGCGAAATCACCTAAGAAAACACTTACCTGAGAATGAAGCACTGAATCAACATGACACACCGTTTGACAATGGAAGTACTTGGTATGTTTAGATGTAGTGAGTATACTAAGATTACACACCGAATGACAATGGAAGTACTTAGTATGTTTAGATGTAGTGAACAGACTAAACATTACACACCATATGATAATTGGAGTACTTAGTATATTTAGATGCAGTGAACAGACAAAACATAACGCACTGTATGACAATGGGAGTGCTTAATATATTTAGATGCAACGAACAGACTAGTTGGATGCTGTAAAATTTTTCCAAAAAATTAGTAGTAACTAAAATATTTTACATCACTCTTTAAAAACAAGTTTTAATTTAATGAACATCTATTGAAACATCTTTAACCATGGATCCTAGGTGGAAATCGATGCCATTAATCAGATGCACTGTTAGACCGCTGTCTTGCCGCGGGTCTCAAATGATGGTCCCAGAACGACATCTTTTCTCTTTCGACCCCTTCACTAATCGTGTGTCTCCTCTGGAGAGGTACGTTCTCACTCTGCGCCTCCTCGTCAGACGTCTCATCATACAAGTCGCGATTGACTTCTTCCGACGACTTCAGTTCCAGACTTGGAGCTCCCCTCAATCCGCCCTCGTAGCGATATTTGGATTTCTTGGAAACTGGTTTCAGTATTTTGAAAGAACATTCCAGGTCAACGCTGACGGTCATGATGGCGCCACAGTTGTTTTGACTGCCGTAGTCTGGCGCCGAGAAAACGGTCACAAGTTGGCGTTTCCCGAAGAACTCGTAGCCTTCCTGCTTGACGTCGTGTGCCCTACAGATCAGCTGCAGGTCGTTCGTCTTCAGGAACTCCTCCACGATGTCGGTGCCGAACATGTAGGACGCGCATCGCATGTCGTTGAAATGCCAGCCTTTGGCATTAGGGTCAGGATGTGGGTCAGCCCAGACCAGATCGGCGATCAGGCCCTCGTCGGGGATGTCCGTCGGACGAGTGATCCGTCGAATCTGTGAGAGGGTCTTCAGGTCCGGACTGAGTCCTCCGTGACAGCAGAAGATCTTGTCGTCGACGACAGCGGCCAGCGGCAGACAGTTGAAGACCTCGTTGAACTTCTTGAACAATGCGATGTTGTAGCGCCGTTTGCATTCGGCGAGGAATCCGTAGAACTGGTTCACTGCTTTCGCCTCGTGATTACCGCGCAGTAGGAAAAAGTTCAACTCGTATTTGACTTTGTAGGCGAACAGGAGGCACATGACCTCAATGGAGTTCCGGCCCCTGTCGACGTAGTCCCCCAGGAAGAGGTAGTTGGTTTCGGGCGGATGCCCACCGATGTCAAACAGATGTAGAAGATCGTAGTACTGCCCATGGATGTCACCGCAGATGGTGACCGGTGCTTCTAGCTCCAGCAGCATTGGTTGACCAAGTAAGATGGGTTTGACGGCGTCCAGCAGCGCCGCGATGTCTCCATGGGTGAGCTTCACTTCTTTGCCTGGTCGGTCATTCTTCACTGAAAATACATACGAATTTAGGAAGAATTAAGTTAAAATTTAAAACGGGATGATAACTTAATAAAGAAAGTCATGGGATGATAACTTAATAAAGAAAGTCATGGGATGATAACTTAATAAAGAAAGTCATGGGATGATAACTTAATAAAGAAAGTGTACGAAAACTCCTGAGACTCCCAGCCCGCCCCATCACTGCTATGCTTCTAACACAATACTTGTCATATTTAGAAGTTTAATTTTGTACTCTTCTATGTCCCATCTCACATGCAATTCTAGCAGCCCTCTGTTCAGCCCGTGGATCCTTAACTATTTGTTTGACTCCACAGATGTTATTGTTGTATATTCTCCATTTGTTTCCGTTGTGATAAATAACATTGAGGGAATGATAGAGCAAGGTAGACGACTCGGAACAAAAAACTGAGATCATGGGCTAATCATGTATGTACCAGACAGAGGCTAATCATGTATGTACCAGACAGAGGCTAATCATGTATGTACCAGACAGAGGCTAATCATGTATGCACCAGACAGAGGCTAATCATGTATGTACCCGACAGAAGTTGACCAATCACCTTGTCCACATCAAATGTATTCGATTCCGCCATCGTTGCTAGCTAGATTTTAATGGTTTGTTGATGCAAGTAGAATTCTATTCAGTTTAATAATTTTCGCCCGGCAATTTGCCAGGTTTGACAATCAGTTGTTTCTGTTAGGCTGGCTTACCTCTGGATATTTATAGCGATGACAAACATGCCTTGCCAGATTTTTAAAGAAAAAGAGTCTTGTGACTAATCGTAAAGATAATTTAATTTTAGTTCATTCATAAGTTTAAAAAAAAAACCAACCTTATGTATGAATTGATGATAACAATGTTTCATTTCCTTAAAACTACTTTAATTTTAAAAAAAACAACTTAATCTAAATTAACGCAAAGAATTCCATACAATTCCAAATTCTTCTTTTGGCAGAGCCTAACCGCCAATTATATCCTATCATTTCATCAGCCAGCCCCACTAGGTCAAGCCTACTTTATTGTACCCTCTTGGCCGCGTGCGAACTTCATGGCTTTTGGAGAAGGAAGCCCCCCCCCCCCCAACCAACACCC